TTAGTTTTTCGGTTTGACTTTTTAAATTTGACTTTTAAGGTTGACTTTTGAGTTTTTAGTCAAAGGGAATTTTTGATATATAAAACAAAATGAGTTCCTCAAACATCAAAGTCAATGAAATTTCCTTGGAGAATTTACGTGTGCATTACGAATTATTACGTAGAGAGAATGAGGAACTAAAATATGAAGGATACCAACTTAGGAAAGGCCAGAAACCATTGAAAGAACAATTAGAGGCCAAGACTAGCGATTTTAGGAAGTTGCAGGAAGATTACAGCAACAAGTGCGAAAATTATAATTACATAAAGAAACAACTTGTTGTTGTCACTGAGGAACTTAACACATTGAAGATACGTTTTGAAAATGCTGATTTTAACTTTAAAAAATTCAATGTGTCAAGTGAGAAAGTGGCAACAATAATTGAAAAATAAATGAAGTGGAAGGACCATAAGCAAGTAGGAATTGGTTATGAGAGTGTCCCTCCTCCATATAATCACACGTATATTGTCACTCCTTTGACTCGGGTGGAGATTGATAGAGAACCATTTATGGTGTATGGCAAACCTGCTGTACCAGTGACTGAAAGTAGTGCTAAGGAAAAAGATACTAACGTTTCTACTTCCCATGCAGATACATCTTTAAGTCAAGGAAAGCAGGAGTCTGGAGAGAATGGTGCTAATGATAATTCTGTTTTGAAAAATGATGTTTCTGTTTCAGATAATATTGTTTCTAAAACTGATGATTTGATTGGTGATGATTCTGTGTCTAATTCTGATGCTTCAAATGTTTCTTGTGGTGATGTGTCTAATAATTCTGATGTTTCTGTTACTAGCACACCCACTGCACCTACACCTGTCACACAACCTGAATCATGCACTTGTATATGTGGGAAGAGCAAGGGAGTCAATAAAACCACTAAACCAGAAAAGAGCGGTACCAGTTTTTATTCTAAGAGACAAACATGCTTTAACTGTGGCACTGCTGGTCATATTGCTCGCAATTGTCCAAATCGGGCATTTATTCCTTTTCATGCACACAGAAGAGAGAGCAAGTCGCGAGGAAGATCTTTCATGAGAAATTTCGCGAGACCTCGTTCTCGTGATGGTGATTGGAATGTTCATAAGGACAGAAAAATGGATGAACTTAAAAGAAATAAACAGGTTTTTCATGCAAATACAACAGATACTTTCACGAAACCGAACGTGGCTAAGCCAAGATCGGATTCGTCAAAGTCTTCGTCTGGGTCTACGGCTAATTTTAGACAGAAACCCAAATGATCAAACCCAAAGAAAACTGTTTCAAAATCACCTGTAAAAGTTTCTAAACCTAACTACCAATGGGTGCCCAAGAATCTAAATGTCCAATCATCTCAATCTTCTGCTTGTGCATCTGGTGATAAATCAAATTCAAAAATTGAAAAAGGAAAATCCGCTGTCAACAAAGAAAAATCCAGTGTTGTTATGACATGGGTCCCTAAATCTAATTGATCTCGCGCATTGTGCCGGAACAGCTGCGGAGGAATGTCGTCAGACCATGGTATGTCGACAACGGTTGTTCCCGGCACATGACAGGAGACATCTCCCAACTGCACGTCATTTAGACTCTTAATGGGGGCTATGTTTCCTTCGCGGGAGGAGATGGAGAGAAGATCATACAGAAAGGAACAATTACAAATGGAGTGCTGAGTCTTGAGAACGTCATCTACGATCTTGAGTTAAAGTGTAGCTTGTTGAGTGTCTCACAGATCAGCTTATGGACTACGGTTTGAATTTTCTTGAGACCCCAATTTTCTAAAAATGCTACGTTTTGAAGACTATTTTTGTTTTAGGTTACTTTAAATTTGCGCATTCAATTTTCCTTCTCTCCTATGCACAAATTTAGGGGGAGAAATAAAAACAAAACAAAAAAAAATCAGAAAATCCAAGAATTACAAAAATAAAAAAAAAATTAGAAAATTAAAAAAAAACTAGTCTGTAGGTGATGTATTGGGAAGTGATATAAATATGTGATAATAACCAATTTGAATCTGTGTAAGGTACCAAAGTTGAATTGTCTAGGCTTTGTGTTCGATGCGCTGGTAGGCACGAAAGATTCATATGGACTTGACTATGTACAGATGAACTTAAGGAATCTATAGACTTGACAAATCTTGACCTAGATAGATCCGTTTAGCCTGACAATACGACGCTCAGGTAGGTTGAGCAGGGAGATATACATGGGAATCTGCGGATTACACTAAATAATTTGTATCTAGAACCGTGGTTTAACTTTTCCTCGATGTGCGAACTTTGTCCTTAATTCTGGTATTGACGGGGCGACTGGGGAATTCCAATAAATTAGGTCTGTAGAAGGTTATTTTCTTGCTTTCTTTCTGTTAGTCATATGTTGTCTCCTCTACGTGATTGAAATACATCCGACATGGACTGCAACATATGCAATTCTATCTCTCTACATTTCTTTTCTATGCAATTCTTTCTGTCTGTTAGCCATATGTTGTCTCCTTTGCGTGATTGAAATACATCTGACCTGGTACACAGCATATGCACCATTCTACTTCTCAATCCCTCTAAATCTGGTTAGTCATATGTTTCACCCTCTGCGTGATTGAAAAATCCGACCTGGATGTACAACATATGCATTCTAAATATGAAGTTATAAATATTCTTATCTTATCTTGTCATAAGTAAAACTTGGTGTCACGATAAAAAAAAAGCGGAAGATCAAGCTTACTACAAGTCATTAATAAAATCGATTATAACATGTAAAAGGATAGGAAGAAATATCGATAATAAAGTAACATGTTTATGGACCAAAAAATTATGAGGACAAGATAAGTACTCCCAAGGGAAAAGTCGATTATAAGGAGGAAAATATAGGATGAGAGTAAAAGATAAAAACGATTGGGAAGAACCTATTGAAGGATTTATAAAAATCGATATGGGTTTTAATTATAAAAGTTTACATAAACATAGCAGGTAAACCACTTGTTACAAGACACTAGACTTCTTATATATTAAATTACAGGGTTGTTGTAATCGACAATATGTGAGATGGATAGCAGATGAAAGATGATGGAATAATTATATATATGACTTGTAATGGCTTTATATAAAGCATTACAAGGAGTCCTATATATCAATACCCAAAAACATCTGATAAATAGGAAACATTCTTAATAAGTAGCAAACTAATTTAGAACAAAACAAATAACTCCATAATAAATGGTAATTTCGGCCCTTACATAAAAATGTAAACATGCAGCAACAAAGGATGCAAAAAATGAAAGTAATGTGTTGATGGAGCATTGTCTTCTAGATGGTTGCATACTCGACATCAACATATATATTACCATTAAGGTTTTGAGGCATTTTCAACAGCCTTGGTAAGTTATGCGATTGTTGCAATTTTGACTCTACTTATTTCTTTTCTTTTATAAAAACATGGACTCCTATTTTAAGACAAGAAATTTCTTTCCATGATGACGACATCTATTAGTAATTAGTTAGTAGGATATACGGACTTCTTTGTATTTTGGTCTATTTCAATGTAATCTCCTGGTGTTTTTGCCAGCGACGAAGTTAGTTTTTTGGTTTTTATGTGTAATAAATATACCATGCAAGGAGTATGTGGCGGAGCTAGACCTAAAGACAACGAGGTAGTGGCCGGTGCTAACTCCTGCGACCGAGGTAGGAGAGCATGGATGCTCACTCTGGCAGGGTAAAATCATTTACTAGCCAAATAAATAACCAGTTAATTTTGCAAGTTTATATCTGTGACTAAATATACCAAGCCACCAACTGACAAATAACTTAAAATTGGTGATTTTGATGTCCTTTTATATCTGTGACTAAAATCATTTACTAGCCAAATAAATAACCAGTATTTTTCTACTTAGGTTCATTACTTTCTTTGTAACATCTTTTTATTTATTCAACCCATTTAACCGTATAGCAAATGTCACTTTTTTTAACCCATTTAGTCGTAAAACCTGAATGGAACCTACTTTTTTTTATAAATATATTTACAAGCCATCTTTGATGTCTTTTACTTTGTAAAACGATAAAGAATACCAAAATAATAATAATAATAATAATAATAATAATAATAATAATTACAAGAGTTTTGTCATTTTAGACTACTCGGTACGGGCCCGTGAAGGGGCGTTTTTGCCTACGTGGAGGCACCTTAAGGCCTTACAAACTGCTGAAACACCGCTCTAGCCTCTAGTTATGACATGTGGTGTTATGAAATGTGGCAACGAGAGCATGAGAGGCAACTCTCTCTCTCTCTCTCTCTCTCTCTCTCTCTCTCTCTCTCTCTCTCTCTATATATATATATATATATATATATATATATATATATATATATATATGTTATAACATGGAAACACCATCCCCAACATATTAAAATGTGAGGTAACAATATTTGGCTTCATAACCGATTGACACCCGATGGTCTTATACATTTGAGATTCTAATTCATTTTATAAATCTCCACACCAAACATAAATCAGCAAAAAGTTCAAATCAATTACATGTCAACAAAACACCCGATAGATTTAATTTTCTTTTTTCAAATTTGTTTCCTTTAGAATCCACTTACTCTGATATATTCAAATTCTTTCTGCAAGCATTCCGAAAACAAAACGCACTCTAATTCTACTCATAGAATAAAAATGAACTAATATTTCATTGTGTTATAATATCCGTTTGCGATCTTTGGACACTTTAATACCTTCGTATTTGCACTAATGTATAAATTATGTATAGTGCACATATGTTTTTCTCACATTTTTTTTCTAACATATGTTAACCATACCTATAATAGTTACTTAAATCTAAAAAACATATTTTCTATTCAACTATTATATGAGGCATAACCAAATATAATTTGGGCTTCACCGATACAAACCTAATAGAACCGTTAATCTCTATTCGCACTGATCAAGAAAGTTTCACCTTTCAACAATTTTAAGTAATCAAATTAGAGAAGGCGTGTTACTATATCCGGCTAGATCTGCTCCTCTTCTTGTCCCTGTTTTTTGATGACTCCGGCGGGAAAGAAGATGATGAGGACTCCAATGTATTCAAATCTCCCCTTTTTTTACTCAATTTTCCGGGGTTTTGGTTCTGTGACTCGATTAAATGTGGGAAATTAAGCAAAGCTTGAGACCCACGTTGTTCAAATGCAGCTCGATCATATGCCATAGCTGCTTCCTCAGGCGTCTTGTAAGTCCCTAGCCACAACCTCGAACCTTTCTTTTCTGGGTTTCGCATCTCAGCCGTGAATTTCCCCCATGGCCGTCGTCTGACCCCTCTGTACCTCAAGCCTTGCATTGATGGTATTCGTTGTGCATGGGTGTAATCTCCATCATCAGATAAAACCTCGTTTATCTTTACCGGAACTTGGTTGTCCTTCCCACCGGAAAATATCAAACCACCAACCGGACCCACGTATCCAGTTGAAAAATCCCAGTTTAGGGGCATAGTTAAATCTCTCTCGGTGCTATGACTGATACTGGAAACACATGTAACGGAGGATGGAGAAAGGTTTTGTTGGGTTACGTTGAAGGTGTTCGGAATTTCAACGGATTTTTTGGTTGTGTAGGGAAATATTTCTGCAATCCTGCTGTGTTGGCTATGAGATAAATTTGAGACGGAATGACTTCCATCAGTACTGCCATAATCTAAAATGTCTGGTATTTCAAAACAGTCAAGATTCCACAACTTTTCAAATTCATCATCCAAAACTGGACAAACCAGGCTCGACTTCTGGCTATTTGTGTCCCATGGAAATTCTGTACAAATGCTCGAGTTTTCTTCCATCTTTAAGGAAGATCTGTTGGAGTTCTGAAGAAATGTCCAATCATCTGTGTTGCAACATGAAAAACACTTTAAATGATCGTCAAAGAGATGGTTTCTAATGGATTTGAGGGTGGTATGATCGGGGTCTACTTGCGTCAACATCTTTTAATTCTCTAACCAGAAATTGTGTTTGCGGTGGGTAAGCGATGACATTATAATCCTAGCTCATATATAAAAGCAAAATGGCACAAGTTGGATAAGGAAAATCTTGACTGGTCTAAGCACGTGGCGGCTTAGATGGCTAAAGAGGTATTCAATACATAATAACACTACAAAACAAATTTAAAAGTAAAAATATAGACGAAATTGCAAAATGTGATATTTGTAGTTGTCAAAATTATCTGTCAAAATTACGTGATTTTGATCCAAAATATTTTGGTGGTGCACCAATAGTTTAAAATTGGATCTTTTTATTGGTTTTTGTCCCTATACATTTAAAAAGACGATTATCCCTTATAATATGTATTTTTCATTTTTGTTGAAATACAAAAATAATTTAATTTATACTTTTTTAACTTACAAAAAACTAAAAATGGACCCACCCATCCCATTTCTTTTTCCTCTCTCTCTCTCAACAAAAATACACACACATACACACACTCACTCAAGAAAAATCACCCCTAATGGTTGCCAACCACCATCATTTGCACCTAACCACCACCATCCGCCGCCAACCACCTCTATTTTCCTCACCCTTACCCTCATCTGTCATTCATTAAACAGATAAAAGTTTACAAAAGGCCACCGTACCATCGTTCGCCACCACTATCCGTCGTAACCCACCCCACCCATACGGTCCTTTCTCCCCCTGCCTCGTCGAAAACCACTAACAAAGCTGAAAACCACCATTCACAACTTCCTTTCTTGCCCAGATGTAAACCAAGTACTCATAAACATATTCAATGCCCAGATCTAAACCAAGTACTCATAAACATACTCAATGCCCAGATTAGTGTAAGGGGTGCTCAAACCTAAAAATTAAACCCCACCCATCGTCGTTCGTCACCACCATCAGCCGTCATTCACCCTCACCTCTCCTTCCTTAACCCGATGAACCTCTACCACCATTATTCTTCGAGCTCCACCGTCTTCTCACCATTCATGAAGACCTGAGTTTGCATCCCGTCCCAGACTAAATCGAATAGATCGAGAACAAATCGGCAGCTCTAGGTTTTCATAAATCTTTAATGATGACTATCCCCACCAGGTACCATCACATCCCTATGGAGAACCCTAACTAGAGCTCGAACCAAAAACCTTATCCAGATGAGATGAGAAGGGGACGACGTTAGGGTTTTAGAAAATGAGAATGGTGATGGTGTCGGCTGAAAATCCTCACCATTGAATGACGAAGAACAATGGCTGAAAACCCAAAAGCTCCGTCGAGCTCCACCATATTCTACCACGACAGTAGATCCCATTTTTCTGACATTCCATTACAGATCTCGTTTTCCAACACGGACACTAGGTCGCTTGGGTAAGTGACGGTGGCAGTGGTAGTCTAGGAGATGGTGGTGGTTCGATAACGGCGGTGGTCCATCAGGTGGTCTCTGATACAATGAAGAGATAAAGAGAGAGGGAGAGAGAGAGAGAGAGCGCGAGAGAGAGAGAGAGAGAGTTAATGTCTTTAAGAGTGATGGAAATTTATTTATTTATTTATTTTTAAATTATATAATAAGAATACAATTAAAGAAATCAAAAAAGAACCAACTAACGGTATTTTCGTCATTTCGGGAGGAAATGGAACAAAACCACACAAAAATGTCAACCATAGGGACCAAAGGCACACGAGGTATTCAAAATTGGACCATTGATGCACCACGAATATTTTTGGACCAAAATCGAAGAATTTTGATAACTACAGGGACCATTTTTGCAATTTTGTCAAAAATATAAGAACCTACATACGTACTGGTAAGAGACTTAAATGAGATAGAGTGTTTGATTAATATTCAATAAATTAAATTCTATAATTATGATATGCGAAAAATAGTGAACATTGGCCGTGTAATTTCGTAAACTCAAAATTATGAGCTCCACCATATTCTACCACGACAGTAGATCCCATTTTTCTGACATTCCATTACATATCTCGTTTTCCAATAGGGACGCTAGGTCGTTTAGGTAAGTGACGGTGGCAGTGGTAGTCTAGGAGATGGTGGTGGTTCGATAACGGCGGTGGTCCGTCAGGTGGTCTCTGATACAATGAAGAGAGAGAGAGAGAGAGAGAGAGAGAGAGAGAGAGAGAGTTAATGTCTTTAAGAGTGATGGAAATTTATTTATTTATTTTTAAATTATATAATAAGAATACAATTAAAGAAATCAAAAAAAGAACCAGTTAACGGTATTTTCGTCATTTCAGGAAGACATGGACCAAAACCACACAAAAATATCAACCATAGGACCAAAGGCACACGAGGTATCCAAAATTGGACCACTGATGCACCACGAAATATTTTTGGACCAAAATCGAAGAATTTTGATAACCATAGGGACCATTTTTGCAATTTTGTCAAAAATATAAGAACCTACATACCGGTAAGAGAATTAAATGAGATAGAATGTTTAATTAATATTCAATAAATTAAATTCTATAATTATTAGATGCGAAAAATAGTGAACATTGGTTGTGTAATTTCGTAAACTCTAAATTACGAAAAAAATTAAACGCTAAATTACAACATCAATATAAAATACACATGGTTCACATCTAATTGAACATTGGCTATGTAACATCCCAAAAATAGTGATAAAATTTTTCATTTTTAAATCATCAAATCCATACATTACGTGTCTCAAAATCAATCCAAATACGAATGTATCAACATCATCAGAGTAAAATAATAATCGAGGCGAAAATCATAAGGGATGCTGTGCAGTCAAGTTGGGCCCTTCCCTTTGGAACTGGAAGTACCTGAAAATGTGTAAACCACAAACTGTAAGCATAAAGCTTAGTCAGTTTCCTAAAATACCACAAACCGATAATTGGGCCCAACACAAACATGCAAATGGGCCCAACCCCACATGTAAATGAGGCCAACCCAACATATAACAAATAGGCCCAACCCAATAACAAATGGGGCCATTCCAACATATACGAAATGGGCCAAGTCCAATAATAAATAGGCCCAACCCAACATACAATGCAAGAGTCATAAAGACAACTAGCATCTTATACTATAGTGAGAAGACTCACCTGTCTCACGAAATCAGCTACCAACCGCTCAAAGTCACACTATCGATGCTACAACACACCTATCAAAACAAACAAGGTCCAACCTTAGACCATACTCTAAAATTGGAACATGACCAAAAGTCAACTTAAGTCAAAGTCAACACCTAAAGTGTAACATCAGGATTTTTGAGGTATTCAATTTAATTTAAATTAATTAGGTTTGGGTTTCGCAGACTTTAATTAGGTTGGCACAACATGGCAGTATTTTGCCACGACATGGCAGCCGTCTGAGGACAAAAAACCTAATTTTCGGGTCTTAAGCCCTATTTAAGGAATGTGTGAGTTAGGGTTTGCTCACCCTCAGCCTCCAACACTCTCTTTTCAAACCCTAATCCGTTCTAATCTCATTGATCTCATTTTTTTTACGAAACTTGTGGTGTTTTTCGCCTTTGAAGGAGTAGGAAGCCCTTTTGGTGTGTTAGTACCCATTGCAAGCATCATATTCATCTTCTAGCATACCTTATGGACATTTGTAAGTGTCCAAGACTCAATCTTTATATCGGTAGGTTGCTAGATCTCAATATTTGTCCCATATTCTTCATTTATTGGTTGGTTGGGGTGGTATGATCTCATAAAGTTTGAAACTTTATGAATCTCCAGGATATTTGAGGTGTTTGAGGCCTTGGATCTGAAGTAAGAATGGGTATTGAAGTCATGCATGTAGTTTTGGTCATAAAACCCTTATTTCTGGCCTAATATGAAGTTAAGACATGCATTGGACATGCATGTATATAAAGTACAAACTTTTATGTTAGTTTTGGTGTTAGTAGCTCTTCTGGAGAAGATGGACTTGGGACTTCAAGGAAAAAGTGCTTAATGGTTCATCCCATGTCATGTTTTTCCTTTTTGAAACCTAGGTTTTGAGATCTTGATCTCTTGAATGGAATTAATGAATAAAGTTAGAAAAATTATCGGGGAAATGGCACAAATGTCCTATGATGTTTCTAGGGTTAGACCATTTAGTCCCTAAACTTTTTTTATTGCTTTACAGGGGCATAAAGTGGATCTTAACCTGCTTATTTAATCCCTTGAACCTAGAATAGTCGGTTTTATATGCCACGTAATCAATTGAATATGATGTGGCTCTTGCAGTCTTGCTACAGTAACACTAACATATTTACTCATTCCCCTTTTATCTATTTCACCTTAAAGAAGCCCTTCAGAACCTGGACTTGGCGGTCTTTGGTAATCAGAAAACTCGATTTCAAGGTGAACATTGTTGACAAATGTCAATAACTCCATTGAAATTCCAGATTAAACGAACTTAGTATTTGCGATTTTCAAGTTTTCTCCATTGATGACTTCTTAGTGTTCTTGTTTCATATTTCAGATTTCGCTCAAATCTAAGCTTATGAAATCGATTGAATCGGTTTTATGCCATAAAATTGTTTTCGATTGTTACAATTGAATTAATTTTTATATTTCATGTTGAAATTTTTTTGATAACCAAAATTTCTGGATCGATGATACATTTTGTTCTTCCTGTGATTGCTTTTCAAAAATCAAGTTCATATGTTTGTTTTGATAACGGAAGCAGACTTGTTTCAATTTATCGATTTTTGGGTTGTATGGATTGAGGTTCGGAATTCATATAACAACTTCATTAGCATCTTGATGGTTAATTGATGAAAATATTTATGGATTCTTTCAATGGTTCTTGAACGGTGTTGTAATAATTCAGAATTGGGGACAAAATAGCCCCAGGGGCATCTTAGGAAAGTTACCTTTTTATGTCGTTTTTGTGTTTATTGAGGATTCTGTTAGTATAATTAGGGATAATGTTTACGTTAATTTCATTCAGTTTTTAGACGTTAAAGCTAATATACTTGTAGCTAAAGTAAATTCCCAAAATTTCATTTTTCTTTTC